AGTTGCAAGGGAACAAAAGTGGGCAGGAGTGTCCTTAGACATCCTGTTCCTTTTGGGCTCCAGCTCAGTAATGAAATGAACTTCAAAGACCTTAACCATTGTAATTCATCATTTTGGAAGGCTTAGCGACAGAAAAATCTATTTGGTTCTTTGACCACATTTTCAATTCTGAAAGTTTCCCAAGTGAAGCAAGGCATGGCAGTCAACAGAGAAAGGTACAGTGATGCAGCTCTTCTCATCTGGGTGGAGAAGTCAACAGAGAATGATAGTTATAGCAGTGATGGAGCATTACTTAGTGAGACGTGCAGGTAGGGATGTGGGGGTGGAGTGAAAGCATTCATAGAGTACAAAGAGTTTTGGAAAAAATAATTCACTCCTATGATATTTGTCTGCTATTCAATGATTGGCATTTCTACTGACAGGAGTTGGAAGGTCTTCCCAGACTTACCAGTGCTGTGGGCAATATAATCAGTGCTTATTTACGCAGGTTTATTCTTGTAGCTTGAGGACAACATAAAAGCCTAAGTCGCTCCCATCTGTGTTTCGTTATAATTTAGTATATATAAAAGAACAGTTGCTAAATTAATTTTGACTAAGTCTGACAGACAATAATTTAATTCTGTTGCACAATTATTTAGCTTTTGCCTGATAAACTGTGTCCTGATATTTCTTCCTCTAGTTTCTCTTTGTCTTCATTGTGTATGCTTCAGGTCTTCTTGGTTAGTGTGTTTAGGACTGTCACTTAGGATTAAGTTCATTGCACAAGCCTGCCATGAACATGGTTAAATTTTATAAAGGAAATGCTACTGTGTACAATACATAAATTAAAATCTTTTTTCTGATTAAATTGTACTTATTTTAGTCTTTCAAAGGCAGGGTATAGTATGTAGAGATATATAAAGTATGATTTTAGAAATATATTTATGTTCCCTGAACAAAGTTAACATAAATGGATAACAGAGAATTTAAAATACAAAACTATAAAACACTGAAAAGATCAAGTAAGAAATTACAGTTAGCCTTGGTTTTTATGACTGATTTTTACATACATTGTTAAAGATGCATGATATAAATTATTCTGCTAAGTGAATGATATATAACATAAGAAGAAAAGCAGCATCCTCAAAGAAAATACTGCAAAGGATGTTTGTTAGGGAGGAGTGTTATAACAGTAACAAAACAAAACAAAACCCCTGGATTTAAAATAGACCAAAATTAGTTGGCTTTCTTGGTCTTCTTGTGGAGCTCCTGTAACCTGAAGGTCCTTCTATCCTTTTCCTCACTTGTCCACAAGACTCCCTACACTTTGCCCAATGTTTGTCTGTGAGTCTCCAAGTGTTTTGATCTGCTGCTTTGTGGAACCTCTCAAAGGACAGCTATGCTAGGCTTCTATATGTGAGCATAGCAGAATATGTCAAAGGTTGGCTCTCTCCCATTGGGTAGGTCTCAGGTTGGGCCAGGCATTGTTTGGACATTCCCTTAATCTCTGCTGTATCTTCATTCCTGTATATCTTGTAGGCAAGGTAAATTTGGGGTCAAATTTTTTTTTGGGTGTGTTAGTTTTCCCATTTTTCTACTAGGAGTCTTATCTAGTTAGATGGTATGCTCTTCTGTCTCCATGACCCCTGCTAGTAGAAGTGTCAGCTAAAGTTACCCACATATCCTCCCAGAAAACTACCTTGTCTTGGGTCTTCGGCTTGTCACAGGTATACCCTGCACACAATTTCTCTTTTCCTGTAGGCCCTCTGTCCTCTCACTACCACGTCCCCTCAACTCAGGTCTACTCTCTGCCCTCATTTTTCTCTATGCTCCCTTTTCTACCTGGTTACCTCTTTTCAATCACTTCTGTGGTCTATTCTATTTCTCCTTCTGGTGAGATTTAAGGATCTTTCATTGGGACCTCCAGCTCAGGGTTCATGTTAGTCCCCTAGCAAAAGAAGCCAGGGCTGATTCTGACATGGTCTCTGTTGCCTGTTTTTAGTTTACTCCCCCTGGCTGGGCTACCTTGCTAGGCCTCAGGGGAAGAGGATGGGTTAATCCTGATGTGACTTGATGAACTGGGGTAGGTTGGTGGGAGCTACTCTGTTCTGAAGAATAGGAAAGAAAGGCAGAGAAAGAGGGAGGGAGGGACCAGGAAGAGAGGAGGGAAGGGGCTATGAGCAGGATGTAAAGTGAATAAATAAATAAAATAAATAAATAAAAAATCTTAAAAATAAAATAGACCAAAGAACTTAACAAATAGGTGGTAAATTTAAAAGTACAGATGACAAGTAAATATGTGAAAAGAATCTAAATTATGTCACCAGAGAAATGTGAATTATAACATGGTAATCACTATATACCTATTTAAATTGTTGGAACCCAGAACACTGACAGCATCAAATGCTTGTGGAGAAATAGAAGTCTCATTCTTTTTTTCATGCTGGTATCGAGCAACAGAGATACTTTGTGTGACAATCTGGTGATTTCCTATCAAACCAAGGATGTTTTACCATGAAAAAGTTCCTAGTATTTAGCATAAATGAATGAAAAAAGTTTCTATACAAAGCCCTGCCCATATATATTTATAGCAACTTCAGTTATAACTATCAAACACGGAAGCACTTAAAATATCTTATCAGTAGATGAATGGATAAACAAACTGTTAGATATCCAGACAATGGATTTTATTTAGAGGTAAACAGAAATGAATGGGAGGACATAAAAGAGCCGAAGTGCACAGCCAAGGAATCAATCTGAAAATTCCACGCACTGAATGACTTGGATACATGCAACTCTGATAAACGTAACCCAGCAAAATGAGTTAGCATGTGTAGGATGGGAAAGGGGATGAAACTAAGCAATCTAGGAAGTCTAAGGACAGCTAAATTATTCTCTGTGGTACTCTCTGTGGTGCCGTTTGTCATTATGCATCTGTCTAATTTCGTAGAAGGAACAGCACCAGAGTGAGCCTTAATGTGCCAGGAACATTTTTAGTAATTTGAGTGAAAATTTGTTGAGTGTAGCTTCTACTGAAGCAAAAGTATGTCAGTGAGAAATATGAATAAAATGGGAGGTGTATAAGAGAAATAAGAAAGGTGAGAAATGTTCTGCCTTCCAATAAATTTTCACTTTGAATCTAAAACTACTCCAAAAAATAATAAGTACTCTCAAAAAGTCATTGTTGTTTAGCTGATAGTCAACTATATGGGCAACAAATCAACCTGAAAGTATATCAGAAAATTATTTATGCATTTAATCATCTTGACTTAGAGAAGTTTGCTTTTATTCTCAGTTTACTGAAGATTATTTTTTAAATTATGAAATGTAGATTTTATCACATTTTTCCTGAATTTATTTATATGATCTTGTCACTTTTCTCATTTCCCTCATGAATGAAATAATATGTATTATTTTTCAATAATGACACAACCTTATTATGCAATATAATAAATTCCATTTGTTTGTAGTGTATTATTCTCTTTACACACCAGTTTTTTGTTAGACAACATTTCTTGAGGCTTTTTAAATCTGTGTTCATGTGAAATAGAGGACAAGCTATTACTTATTTTTATGTAATAGCTTTTTTTAGCTTTTAAGCTTTTTCTATAATTTTATATATGTATTTCTATAACAACTACCACTCCCTCCTCCAACCCTTCCTACATCTCCCCAAATCTATACCTCATCATGTTTTTATATATGTTAATATCCCATAGAGTCTAATTAGTATTGCCAACATATATACAAGTGAGCCCATCTATTGGATCAGTCTCTAACTTCCATGGATAATACTTCTACAGAAAACTGATCTCCCTCTGCTAGAAGCTATCTACTGTCAATACCTTCTCAGCTCGAGATGGGATTTTATGAGCCTGTCCTTCATGGTGCTAGAAGTTTAACTTGGTTGATATTGTTTGGGTCTTGTGCAGGCAAGCTAAAGTTAATTCATGGGAACAATATTTGGTAATGACCAGGGACATTATTCCATCCTGTCCTCCTATACCTTGGGTTCTGAAACACTTAAACCACTGTTTCATGATGTTCCCTGATTCTTGTGGTTTGAGTGTGTCCTAAATAGTGTACTGTCAACTTGATACAAGCTAAAGTCATCTGAGAGAAGGGAACATCAACTGAGAAAGTACCTTCATAAAATGGGGCTGTAGTCAGGCTAGTAGAGAATTCTTTAATTAGTGGTTGATGGTGGAGAGCCCAGCCCATAGCAGTTGGTGCTAATGCTGGGCTGGTGGCCTCATGTTATATGAGAAGGCAGGTGAGCATTGCATGAGAGGTCTGTAAGCAGTACTCTTCTGGCCTCTGCATCAGGTCCTTCCTCCAGGTCCCTGCTCTTTTTGAGTTCCTGTCCTGACTTACTTCAATAATGAACTACAATGAAAATATAAAACAAATAAACCCTCTTTCCCCCTCCCCAACTTGCTTTTGGTTTTTTGTTTGTTTGTTTTGTTTTTGTTTTTTTTCTTACAACAGAAAGAAACCCTATCTAAAACAGAAATTGGTACCAGGATAGACCTGCCCATGCTGTTTTGGGCAAGATTATGAAAGGTTGTTGGAACTTCAGGCAAGAAAAGCTATTGCATGTTCAAGGCTTAGTAAGCTATTTTTTGGGTGCTTGGAAGAAAAGAAGAATGGAGAGAATGGAGGTCTGGCTTCTAAAGTTCCAGAGGGAAGTTTGATCATTACCTAAAGAGTATCAGGCAGTTTCATATTTGATATTTTGAGTTAATATTCTGTGGTTGTGGTCAGTTGGGGCTGAATAGTCAGCAGTGATTAATAAGAGATTGGTACCATTGAAGAGAAACTTTTCCTTTTTGGGGGAAACTGATGTTGGTTAGCTGGAGCTGAGAAGTTAACAGTGATGAAGAAGAATCTCTGGTCTACAAGTGAGTCCAGGACAACATTGAAAACCCTGCCTTGAAAAACAACAAAAACAAAAGAAAAAATACACATAAAAACAAACAAACAAACAACAAACAAAGAAGAGGAAGAGAAAGGAGACCAGATGTACCTCAAGAGGTCTATCAGGTGTCTGCTGTGTCACATGTGCGTCAGTAGGTGGCAGAGGGGAGAGAGGCTGTGTCTACTCTTCGTGTTCTTACCTACAAACATCTCAATGATTAGTTCCTGAAAAAAGCCAGCCTGAAGAAGCCCCAGGTCAAGGAATGAATGAGCTGGAGACTAGAAGAATCTCACCTGTGACCATGGTCCCTGGCAGGAGTGAGCACAAGATAGACAGCCCTACCCTGGGCCCACTTGGGCGGGCCTTGGTGACAAGTGACCCCAAGACATCCACCAGACTGGTACCATGGGTTCAGGGAGCTAGGCTGAGGTGACCACCAACCCGAGGCCACAAAGTTCCAGGGGACAGACCATGCTCTTAATGACCCCTGCCTGGAATCATAATGCATGAGCAGGGCATAGCACTCCTGAGACCACATGTGAGATGACCCTAGACACTCAGAGATCCCTGAGTGACAATGACGAGAGGCAGACCTGGAAACCTGAGGGTAGTAAGGAAAAGGCTGATGTAAGTAGCCAGTAATGCCAACTCAGATCATCGTGGAGTCCAGACCTGTGCTGCCACTGGGGGCACTGAGAGCTGGCCCCAAGGTCAACAGAGCAGAAGTGCTGTCCCTGCCCCTCACCTCACTCAGGGGAGTGGGCCCTGCACCTTGCCTGGGCAGCATAATGAAGCTGACCCTGGATGTGGGGGTTGCAGGTGAGCTGGCCCTGAGGGTGTGAGTGTGGAAGAGCTAGTCCTTCTCTACTTGCAGTAGCATGAGTGAGGGAGATATCCCCTCCCCTCCCTTTTGCCCTTGCCACTAGCAGCCTGTGGATCCCACCTTGCTTGGGCTGTGGAGCAATGCTGGCCTTGGACATGAGGATTATGCATGAGCCATGCCCCAAGGCTCGGGGCACAAGGGAACAGACCCTGACTTTTATCTGAGAGATGTCCTCCTCTACTCCCTCATCACTTGCCATCTCCACCAGGTGAAAGAGCTGGCCCCGGGTCATGAGAGAGGAAGAACTGGCCCTGTCCTTCACTGGCTGCAACACATGGGGGCGTAGTCATGTACCTTGCCTGGGGAGCAGGGTAGAGCGGCCCTGGTTTTGGAAGTTGCTGGTGAGCTGGCCCCACAGGTGTGAGAGCAAGAGAGCTGGCCAGATGACTAACTCAGGTACCTCTCAGGCCTAGATCCAGGGCTTTGAATTGGACCACTCTAATGTCTACCCCACTAAGGAACTGCTGTAATGCATGAACAGTCTGTCCTACAAATCCAAAACTACAAGATCCCCATGACACAGCAAAACAACAGGATATCTGAGAGGAGTATCATTGAATTTCCAGTATGGATAGAGTAGCAGAAGCCAGAGCCTCATGCCATAACAAGGAGTCATTGCAATAAACATTTGCAAGCAAAGAAGTATGGAAAAGAGTGTATACTATGATACACTGTGATAAACTGAAGCTTCCACAATGATATGTTTTTTTCTCTGTTGGGAAAAAGGTTGCAAGTGTGAAGGGCAGATATAAATGCAGGGAGAGATGATTGGTATTTGAGTACATGATGTGAAATTCACACACACGTGCACAAGTGCGCTCGAACACACACACACACACACACACACACACACCAATAAACAATTAAAAAAAAGGGAGAGAGACAGAATCACTGAGGTGAAATCTTCCACTGAGGTGTTTCCCAAAAGTCAGCACACAGAACTCATGTCCTAGAGGTGGCCAAGGTTGTACCTTGTGCTGACAGCCAAACTTGGTAGTGTAAGAGTCACCCAGGTAGCACTGATTTTGAAGGCAGCTTAGGACTGGTACTGTAGGGCAAGACTGGAGCATCTGAAGAAAGCCCAGGAAAGGCTACTGGTAAAATTGCAACCCAGTTGGCACAAGAAACCCTAGCATTTTGGAGATGCCAATGTCATAAGATGACCACAATGAAAAGCTGTACCATAACAATGATGTCTCAAGTTGACAAAGGATAATTGTGGTGGATAGTTTTATGTCAATTTTACATAACCTAAAGTTATCCGAGAAGGAAAACCATAGTTAAGAAAATACCTCCATAATATAGGGCTTTAAGGAAGCCTATAGTGTGCTTTTTTAATTAGTGATAGATGGTGGAGAGTCCAACCCATCGTAGATGCTGCCATCCCTAGGCTGGTGGTTCTGTGTTCTATAAGAAAGTAGGTTGAGCAAGCTATGATAGTAAGCAGCAAATAACCATGACAGTAAGAGCCAGTAAGCAGTACTTCTCCATGGCCTCAGCATTAGCTCCTTCCTCCAGATTCTTGGCCTGCTTGAGTTCCTGTCATCACTTCCTTCAATAATGAGCTATAATGTAGAAGTGTAAACCAAAGTTTCTCTTCAACTTGGTTTTGGTCAAAGCATTTTATCACAGCAATAGAAACCCTAACTAGAATAGGGTGTGTAACTTGTTACATATTGTTCTCTGCAGTTTGACCAGTTATGAGTCTCTGCATTAACTGCATCCACTACAAAAAGAGGCTTTCCTGATGAATACAGATAGTAGCACTAATCTGTAGGCATAGAGATGTGTATTTTAAAGGCAATTTGAAGCAGTGTCCATTTGGGAAAATAATAGTAGTAAGTTCTGTCCTAGGGACAATGAGTCACCCAGCCAAAAGTAATTTGCCAAATTTAAAATTTCAGGTGATTGTTCTCTTGTCTAAAGTGGACCTTAATTACAGTCAGAAACCGGTTGGTTACTCCTATTAACATTCATGTACTATGATTCATTTTGCCAGGATAGACATTACTGTAGTCCACAAGGTTTACACCTGAGTAAGGCTACTGATGACTTTTCCCACCAGTAACTGGCATAATACCTTATGTTTGACATTGTGCTGAAAGCCACAAGGTACTATACAAGGTATGTAGCAATAAAGAAGCCTCCAGGTCACTACCAACTTGATTTCCCCATGTTCTCTAACCAAAGCAAAGCTGTTAGACTTTTCATGTCTTGCATTGTCATTGTTTAGCTTTCATATTAAGTTAATGCATATCTCAGAATGAATTTGGAAATGTTTTCTGTTTCACACTTCTAAAAGAGAATATAAAACACAAGTATAATCTTTGTTTTAGTAAATTTACCAGGGGCACCATCTAGCTCTAGCATTTTTTAAAGTTTAAACGTCTCCCCAAATGTTTTTAGATAAAAGCCTACCTTGATTGGTCTTTTGTGAATTTTGACAAATTGTGTTCTTCAGAAAGTTGGTGCTCTCCATACAGGTGGATATGGAGTTTTTGTAGTATCCCTTAATATTCTTGGATATCTGTGTAATTTAACACTTGTGTCTTTTCTCTTTGGTTCCTAAGTCTGACTAGATGCTTAGCAATTCTACTGCACTTTTAAAAGATCCCATATTTGGATTTGTTGATCTCTGTTGACTTCTTGAATTTTATTGATTCCTATTCTAACTTTTATTAATTTTTTTCATTTCTTGTAATTTTTCAAGTTTGTTAGCAGGAAAGCTTGGATTATTAACCTTACATCTTTACCTTCTATAATGTATGGGTTCAGTGATAAAAAATTTCCTTTATGCCCTACTTCTGTTGTGTTCCTCAAATGTTAGCAGGTTGCATTTCCAGTTTCATTTGTTTTGAAATATATTTAATTTATCTTGAAATTTCCTCTTAAACTCATGTGATATTTGCAAGTATACCTTTTAATATTTAGATGCTTGGGGTTTTTTTTCTGTCATTAATTTTGAGTTCAGTTATATTGCATTCAAAGAACAACTGTTACAGGCTTTCTAACATTAAATTTGCTGAGGTACATTGTATGACTGGTGCTGTTGAAGATACATTGTATAAATGGCCATTGCACCAGCTCAGTTGATGCTGTTGAATTCAGCAAAAATTCTTACTGATTTCTGCCTGCTAAGTCACACACTTTGTGCTAGAGGAGTGTTGGAGTCTCCAGTTACAATAGTGGATTCAGATCTTTAACTTTGCAGTTTTAACAATTTTGCCTCTTATGTTTTGACATACTGTTGTTAGACAAGACTGGTGACTTTCACCCAAATATTTTTGTCTACTTATATCTAAACAATAATTAAATAACTCTTCCTTCTTACTGTAATGTGTTTTTTACTACAAAAGAATAACAAACTTATCTGAAGAGAAATATTTTTCTCTTGTGTGAAAGGATAAGTAAAAATATACTTGTAATTAGTTTTCTGAATACCTTAGCTCTGCACAAGGGGAAGACTCTCTCTCTGAACTTCCCAATCACCTTGCTAATCACCAAGTCTCATTTTACTGATGAATGAAAGTAAGATCTGAAATGGCTGTCAAGGAAAGTAGAGCTTATGAACGTGAATGTATTTTAATACAACTGAACTCTACTTTGTAAAATGTAGCACTTTCTCTTTTATAAATTGACAGGTTGGGGAGGGTATGATTTGCACTTTTTTACATATGGAAAGCCTGGTTTCAGATTCTGTAGTTAGTAGTTTATGCTGATTTGTTTTTATATCAGCTTGACACAGGCTAGAGTTGTTTTGGAAGAAGGAAGCTCAGTTGAGAAAATGACACTCCCTTTTCCCCCAGGCTGGATGTACCTGCAGTGGGTTTTCTTAGTTACTGGTTAATGAGGAGGGGAGGGCAGTCCACTGAAGACGGGGCTACCCTTCGGCTGGTGAATCTTGGGTATATAAAAACAGGCTGATCAAGCCATGGAGATCAAGCCAAAACCAGCATTCCTTCATGGCCTCTCCTTCAGTTCCCCCTTCCAGGTTCCTTGCTCTGACTTCCCTAGGTGGTGAACTAACTAAAATCTAAAATATAGACTAAACACTTTCCTCCCATATTTTTTTCAGTCATGGTGTTTTATAACAGAAATAGGAACTTTTACTATGACTTAGGTGATAAGGTTTCTCCACACTGTTAAGTTAGTGTAAACTTTGTGATTTAATTCTGAGATGACACAGAAGATATTCACCCTGAATCAGCTAGAGTTTGAGGATGTTTCTCTTTTTGTAAGGGAAATGCTTACACCTACATTCTCTTGTGTCAGGTAATAGAGCCAGACTATGCCCTTGAACCCTACCATGGAAGATAATAACATCAACTCTATTGTAAACAGATATTATT